CAGTTTTACTTTGTTGCCCTTGGTAGAGAGCTGTGGTGTCACAGCTCACAGCAACCTCAAACTCTTGGGCTTAAGTGATTCTCTTGCCTCAGCCTTCTGGGTAGCTGGGACTATAGGCGCTTGCCACAATGCCTGGCTATTTTTTGTTGCAGTTTGGCCAGGGCTGGGTTTGAACCCGCCACCCTGGGTATATGGGGCCGGCGCCCTACTCACTGAGTCACAGGTGCTGCCCTGGTTTCAGTTTTTGAGGTCCCTCCATAGTGGTTGCACTAATTTCTATTCCTACCAACAGTATATGAGAGGATCCCCTTTTTCCACATCCTTAATAGAATTTATTGCCTTTATGTCAAAAACCATTTTATTTATTTATTTTTTTGAGATAGAGGCTCATTATGTCATCCTGGGTAGAGTGCCGAGGTGTTACAGCTCACAGCCACCTCAAACTCTTGGGCTTAAGCGATTCTCTTGCCTCAGCCTCCCGGGTAGCTGAGCAATAGCGAGACCTCGTCTCTAAAATAGCTGGGGTGTTGTAGCAGCTGCCTTTAGTCCCAGCTACTTGGGAGGTTGAGGCAAGAGAACTGCTTGAGCCCAAGAGTTGGAGGTTGCTGTGAGCTATGATGCCATATCACCCTACCCAGGATGACAAAATGAGATGCTGTCTCAAAAAAAAAAAATAATAAAGACCTTATCTGATGGGTAGTAAGCAAATATTTTCTCCCATTCTGTGCTGTCTATTCACTTGCTTCCTTTGCTTGTGATTTGGGGGTATTACACAAGGAGTCCTTGCCCAGGCCCATGTTCCAAAGCATTTTCCCAATTTTTTTTTTTCACTAGTCTCCTGTCTTAAATTTTTAAGTCTTTCATCCATTTTGATTATTGTATTTATGGCAAGAGATAAAGGTCTAGTTTCATACTGCATATGGATATCCAGTTTCCCCAGCACCTTTTATTGAAGAGACTGTCTTTCCCCAATATATATGTCCTTGGCAACTTTGGCAAAGTTCACTGTAGATGTGTGGATTTATTTCTGGGTTCTCTATGTGTCTATTTTCATGCCATGATGTTTGGTTACTACAGCTCTATAGTATAATAATTTGAAATTGAGTAATTTGATTCCTCTAGTTTTGTTCTTTTTGCTCAGGATGGCATTGACTATTCTGGGTCTTTTGTGGTTCCACATACATTTTAGGATTATTATTTTTTTTTGAGACGGAGCCTCAAGCTATCCCCCTGGGTAGAGTGCCATGGCATC